GCTCAGGCTGGTCTCGAACTCACAGCGATCCTCCTGCCTCAGCCTCCCGAGTGCTGGGATTACAGATGTGTGCCACCACGCCTGGCAATTGCTAATTTGCTTCCTGTCTCTAGAGATTCACCTGTTCTGGTTATTTCCTATAAGAGAAATCAGACAGTGGGTGGGCTTTTATGTCTGGCTTCTCTCACTTAGCCTAATATTTTCAAAGCTCATCCCATCATAGAATTTGTGAGCCCTTTGTTCCTTTTAATGGCTGAGTGGTATTCTATTACATGATATAGGGATACATTATTTTTGTTGTTGGTTGTTTCTCTGTGGTACTGGGGATCTAACCCAGGGACACTCTGCAACTAAGCTACATCCGCAACTATTTATTCATTTTTATTTTTGGGTTTTTTTTTTTTGAGACAGGGTCTCACTAGGTAGTCCAGGCTGGTTTTAAACTCACAGTAATCCTCCTGCCTCAGCCTCCCGAGTGCTGGGATTACAGGTGTGCGCCACCACACCCGGCTCCCAACTCTTTATTTTTGATTTGGAAATAGCATCTGGCTAAGTGGCCCTGGCAGGATTTGAACTTTTAATCCTCCTTGCCTCAGTCTCCTCAGTACTGGGATAACACTACATTACAGGATTGCTTTGCATTTTAAAAGGCATTCATCCGTTGATGGATGTTTGGTGGTTTCCAGATGTTTGTATACAGGTTTTAATGTATGTGTTTTCCTTTGGGTGGGGGGCAGATATTGTACCTAGTCGTGGAATCGCTGGGTCGCCTGCTGACTTTCGCCAAGCTCTTTTCTCATGTGGGGCATCGGCGCGTTGTTCTCACTGGGAATTTGCAAGCTTTCTGCGTTCTTCACATCTCACCCAGCCCTGGCGGGCGCCTAGCTGTCTTGGTAGGTGTAGAGCAGCGTCCCATTGTTTTGATTTGCATGTTGCGAATGATCCATAATGTCGAGCGGCTTCTCGTGCGTTTATCGCCCATCTATACTTCGCTGGAGAAACTTCCATTCAGATCCCTCATTCGTTGAAAAAATAGGCTATTCACTGTTTTTATTGAGTTCTAGGATTTCTTTATGTATTCTGGACACGGACCTTTATCAGACTATAATTTGTAGGTATTTTATCCCATTCTGTGAGTCGTCTTTCACTTCTTGATGATGTCACTCGAAGCACTGTTTTTAGTGTTAATGAAGTCTACTATACCACACTTCTGTTTTAGCACTGTGCGTGTGACAAAAGCTATTCTTATGTATCTCAAAGTTTAAGAGCTAGAGGCCCCTGAAGATAATATTTTTGTCATTTATTTATGACAAAGTAATTCATTACATGTGATAATTTGAAACCATAGTGAATGTTTATGTTTAAAATGTATTACAGTGAGATATACATTGCCATGAACCAACTTCAAAACACCGTGCTCCTCCTTGCTTTGAACATGCTTTTCCCAACACCCTCGCCACTTTCTGAAGCAGGTGCAGGAGTCCTCTTCCCTGAGTGTTTTTAGTTGCACTCATGGCTGCCTCTATTCCTGAATTGATTGAAAATGTTTCCTTTTCAGGGTCACTTGGACTTTGGGGAAGAGCCAGAAGTCACATACTGACAGAGTTGCTGAATAAAGTGGGTGGGGCCACACTAAAATTTTTATTTGACAGAAATTGCTATCAATGCTTTGAATCAATTCAGGGCATCATTAAGACTACCACAAAAAGACAGGCAAGAAAGAGGACTTCCAGAACTGCTTCAGAAGGTGAAGAATGATGGGATGAAATTGTTCGAAACAAAGGGGAGAGGGGAGAGGGGCTGGGGATTTAGCTTAGTGGTTCCACTGCCTGCCTGACAAGCGCAAGGACCCAAGTTCGATCCCCACTACCAAAAAAAAAAAAAAGTGCACCGAAACAAAGGGGATTAAAGACAATGTATCTCTTATGGTAATAAATTTTTAATTATCTTAATTTGAATATCCAGTGTTTTTTATAATACTGCATAAAAAGATTTACTGTACCGGGCCCGTCCTTTATTGAATAAAAAGCTTCTATGGTTTGTGCCATGAGGGCGCTTGCTGTCCTCGAGTTTATTTACTAATGGAGGCAACTTGTAAACAAATCAATAGAAAAAAGATAATAAATTGGGATGCATTTTATATAGAAAAAGAACAAAAGTTAAAGAACCTCTTTTAGGTTGCCGAGGTAAGGCTGGACTGGGGAGGTAACGTTTCTGCCGTGTTGTGAAGGTAGGAATGATTCAGCCTGTGAAGAATGGGGACTAGTAGCTGGCTGGGGGAATAATTACAGGATCCCAGGACGGTGCCAGATAATTCCCAGGGGCCCGTATGTGGCCCGTCTCGCGAGTTCCCACGAGATATGGACGCCCTATGAGGACACAGATACCAACAGGGCCTGCTAGCTTGACTCCGTGTGGCAGCCCACTCTGCCTCACTTGTACTTTTTGCCTTTATCATTTCCTTTCCTTTCGGCCCACGTTCACTCTGCAAAGCTAGTTCTTCCCTCACCCCTTTAGCCCTCACTTTTCAAATAGACTTTTGGCACCATTTTTAGCTTGGCTCATCCAGTTCTTTTTGGAGGCAGGAAGGACCTGGAATACTTTTAAATGGCGAGCCATTTCTAAAGGAACTTCCGGTCAACACTATTCCAGGAGAACATAGCGCAAGCATCACCGTTTTGCTTTTATTAGTTTTATGTGGTCTGCTGGATTCAAATGATTTTATATAAATGATGTCACATCAATTGCAGATTCTTTAAGAAGCATTCCAGAGTCAGTTGGATGAGGCTTCTCATTGTCTTACTGAAGACGTCTTTGCGGTGGGTTTAAAAAAATAGCTTATCAAACTGATTTGGAGAAACCGTGATTCTGTATCGTTTTCTCTTTTTTATGCAGAACAACAATTATGTTCTTGCTCAAAATCATGTTTTTCACATGATTATCACATATACAGTGACATAGTGACATAATTAACAATTTTTGTTTTCTCTGCATCTGACTGAATACTGCTCAACATTATCTCTAGAACTAAACAAACAAACAAAACCAAAAGCAAAAACAAAACAAACAAAAAAAAAACACAAAAACTTAAGCGAGCATTTGTGGGCAGCAGTTTGGGTCCCTGAATACACAGTAAGATCTGAGTGTATGAGCTATGGAGGGAAAAATCTTTGTGATGAATAACATATTTGAAAAGGAGTAGCAGGAGAAAAAGTTTTCCATGGGAGTGTGCACACTGGAGCAGAGTCCGAGCCAAGGTTACTCAGTGTGGAGCGCACCTTTTGTCTCACAGAGGGATACGAAGCTGCAAAGCAGTGATTTTTTTTCTGGTTCTCATTCCCTCCATGCCTGTCTGTGCCATGAATTTGGAGATCTTTCTGGAATATCAACTTTCAAAGGGCTTCGTCCTTGGGCGCTGTGACACTGGGCTTTACTTACATTACGGTATCCTCATTTTATATATGAAGAAGCGGAGACTGAGAAAGGTTAACTGACTCCCCCAGGGTCACAGAGCTGAGCTGTTGCCTGAGTCCATATAAATTAAATCAATAAGTGGGGATTTCAGAATAAATGTCCAAAGGACTGCAGAGAACAGCCTGCTTGAAGCTGCTTCTAGCATCTGGCTTGCTGGGTGACCTAGCGTTTAAGAGGCACTCGCTTTTGACCAAATATAGCGTGGATCCCTTAGGAACAGTAAGGCACCCATTTATTTTTTTCCCCATTTGTTCTTGAAGCAGAATGGGTGTTTGGCAGATGCTGGGTGGTAAATTATCGTCTAAAGTGAGGCGTCGGTGGCCTAATAATACCAAGAAAGCAGCTCCCAGGGGGTCAGTCTGTAGACTCGGGAATACTTTGTGCATTTATCAAAGCAGATGGCTTTCAGAGGAATTTGAATCTTCTCTAAACATAGCATCAGTCTCTCTCTTTTTTTTTCTGGAGTTTAGTAAACTGGGCTTTATAACTTCATACCTGATTGTTTTGCTGCCCTGTTTGACCTTCTTTTAAAATGCTTTTTCCCCCCAGGAGTTGTACTGTTGGCTTCAACTTTTCATTCCCTTCCTAGGACTGCTGCATAGGAACCGTAGGCGGCTGGGGACAGGTACGGAGGCCCTGCTCTCCGCGCAGCAGCCCGGGCCTGTGGCCGGCAGCCTCGTCGGGATCCG